TACGTACTCCTCCCTCCTGCGGAGAGAGAGAGAGAGAGAGAGAGAGAGAGAGAGAGAGAGAGAGAGAGAGCGAGAGGGAAATAGAAGGAGCCGATACGCGTGTCGGTTGCACCTAAGAGGGCAACGATAACATTGTATGTTGTGCGGTGATGCTCGCAACAGGTGCGCGGCGTCTCAGCCGCTAACACGCCCAATAACCCCCGCAGTTGAAAGGCTCTGTCCTCGCACGCGTGCCACGCAAAGCGCGACAAACCCAAATGAAGCCATAAGCGACTCTCCCGTCGCACTGGAGGCAAGGTGCGGCGAGGATACCCGGTGAAGCTGTCCCAGCCCTAACTTCTACCACCTCGGTGCCATTCAGCTGCGGTAGCAAGTGATTAATGCTTCCTACCTTGTCCGGTCAGGCGTATCGCGGTGTATGAGGTGCATCGATTTTCCGATAGCGGCGAGATTTCGCTTGTTACAGGCGCATTAAAATTTATAGCAACGACTTTGTTTGAAATCTTCAGAATGGCGGGAGCGATGGCTGTGTGTATGGGGTCTCGGGTGGAGATAAATAGCTTACTATGTTGGTGAGGAATATTGATTAGGTCTTTGCTTTGAGACAATAGTCATGCTTGAAAATGTCCATACACTGACAGTAGCAAGAGATACTTCTATTAAAAACGGCAGCACATATATGTATCTTGTACAGCGAATATCTCACGCCATTGCGCAAGCCTGGTACCACGGGTTATACATAGGCAAAAGCTAATAAAAAGGCATTATTAGCTCTTGATACAGGTTATACTTGTATGGGGTCTAAATTGTTATAAGAAACACATACGTATCCACTGGCGAAGTTTGGCGAGGCTACGAAATAAAAGTTATATTTGTAATGTTTCTATTTTCCGACCATGGCTGTTTTAACCGATGGCTCGTGCACATTAATTCTACTTCGTGTGGCATAATATTATATATTTATTTTATTTATAAATATGTAGCCGCATTGCGAATATGTGCAGCTGCCAGCTGGGCATACATTTAATAGCTAATTTATTGTTATATGCAGGCGACATTGAAATATAGCCGGTTCTTTCACGTGCGGTGAGAGGGGTAATCATTTCCGTGTGAATCAAGTCTGCCGCTAATCGCATTTACTTCCACATTACACCAGCTGTGCCTCGTGAATGAATTTATACGATAACGTGCACTACGTTATACTTCCGGCAGCATATCTGCCTAGTGTAGTTGGGGTATTTTTGGTTTTCGATATGCAGTGGCGGGCTACCACATTTTTCTCCGTCACCATCATCATCATGATCATCAGTCCGTGACTTCCGGCTGTTATGATAAACGTAGTTTCACGCAGAGCTTACCTCTTGAGGGTCTGCACAAAGTGGTCCACACTGATTCCCTGAGTGGCCATACATGCTAGATATACTCTAATTCGTTGAACTAATTGCCAATTAAGCGGATCATTTCGTAGTAATGATCATGTTATCGATTAGTTATGCTCGAGAATTATCGATTTTGATAATCTGAATATCGGCATGGTGATTTTCGTATCCGCGCGTGCTATTCTCAGAAGAAGTGTTGAAGGTGATCCAGACGCTCTGTTGGCCTGTGGCAGACGGCGGCCCGCGTGTATTCCCTACGGCTACGGCTTCTCTGCAGGGCGGCCCAGGGCGGCTGCAACGAGTTGAGGTTGACGCGAGGGCACAGTACTGCGACGCTCAAGAACTCAAGGCGCTTCTGAATTAACATGTTTTTCGCGAGCCACTCGAGATCACCCGGAGAAAATTAAAGTGATTATTTGCAGATGTGGCCTGTTGGTCGCCGCATCGCTTGGCTGGCAGCTCGCCGCCGCCGCCTGTTTGAGCTGTTGTACACGTACATCGATGTAAATGCCAGCGAGCTGGGGAATGGCTTCCTTGTTGACACTATTTCTAGTTTCTATAGTGCCTGCAGCCGTGTCGGGTGGCATACGTTATTATATTAGGGAGGGGCGTGTTGACACCTCAATGTAACGTCGGAGCGGTGACTGTCGTGCCTTAATAGCCGCGTTCACACGTAGCAAGAAATCCGGTATTTAGCGTTCACACGAGGCAAAATGCGCGGTCCAAGAAATATACCATATAATACGGTATCTAAACAAATCCGGTATTTGATGTAAATACGCGGCTTCCCATGCAGACCCCGAATAATTTGCCGCGCTTGAGAAATACCGGATCTCTTGGACCGCGCATTTCCTCGTGTGAACGCTAAATACCGGATTTCTGAAGCAGCGTATTTTATAGACTGGTCCGCGCTCGACAGTTCCAGTGTTACGCGAGTGGAACTGTCGAGCGCGGACCAGTCTACGTATTTTATCGGCAGTTGGTGCGCATTGCATTGTTTATTTCGTACTGTTCGCTTGATTCTTTAAAGCAGCTCGCAGCTCGCAAATACAGTATTTCTGGAGCCGCGAATCAGCGTGTGAACGCTCGGCCGCGTATTTGTCTCAGATTCGGTATTTCGCAAATACCGTATTTTATAAATACGAGGTCTCGTGTGAACGAGGCTGTAATGTGTGTCACTTGAGAAGGGGACAAATGCAGAACAGGTGGTCGTGTGTGGCCTCGAATCTGTCTAGCGTGCGTAACAATAAATCATACGCTTCCTGGCTGCCTACATATTGAGTGTTGTGCACTGGTACATCAGTTAATTACTTTTGTATGAGCGAGCATAGTCATAATTACAGGTGTATACAAGCGTACGCATTCGCTATTAATATTAATAACATCCATTTAAGCGTTGAAATGTGCTCGTGTGTAGCATTGTATTTTACCACCACCACCACCACCATCATCATCATCATCATCAACGTCATCATCGTCGTCACACTGTCGTGACGACGAACTTTTTCCCATAGATCCATCGTAGAGTTTAGCTATCGCATCTTACGCTGGCGTAACGAGATGTCTTGTTGTTGTCTTTCAGGTGTTGTGGCTGGAGCAGCAAGTGATAAAAAGACGGGTGAAACGAGATTACTCATCAGTCATTCCATACAGCAACGTCGTCGAGAATCTAATTCCTCCCAACGATCCCCAGTGGCGGAAGCAGTGGTATCTGGTAGGTTTACAGGCTGCTATAGCACAGACCGCGCACTCTCGCAGGGAAAGGGGAACTCGCCCTTTGTGCTACCTTGTGAACACTGTAGAGCTGGTGAAGTAAAAAGAGGAGGGGAAATAATATTGAATGACTTTTCACTAGCAAACCAAAAGTCAATATCAACCTTAGGTCCGGGTGTTCTATTTTCCCAGTTAATTACTTTGCCACCACCGACACTGACGGTAATAGTATACTTAGCTTACACATTTGCTTTTCTGCACCTTTTGCTGGTCAAATATGCTGTCATCCACTGTTGGCATACCGACTTTCTTCCGTCATCAAGTACTGAACACGTACAAGCAAGAGGTTTAGCGGCACATTGGATTTAACGTTGCTCATGGGTTTGAAGCTGATGAACTAATAACGTGCCACTGCGCTAATAACGGTTCTCGTTCTTGATTAATCCAATCAAACTACTGAAGCTTTCAATTGAAATCCTCCTACTTTTACACCGACGGCACCGCATTCCCAATGGATCGGATCCGAGGCAGATTAATTAAGTTCTGTCGTTCAAGGGGAGGGGTTTCTTGTCAAGTGAATTGTCCAGTTGCTGGGAAAGCACTGTCCAGTCATTGGAAGAGTGCTGTTTAGTTGCCATGAAACTGTTATCTAGTCATTGTAGTGTAGAGCCCGGTCTTCGTAAGGATACAGCCCAGTGACAATAATGCTACTGTCCAGTTGAAGGAAAGTTGTTGGATCTCATGGCTTGATCAATCACAATTGAGGAATCTATAAACCAATTGTAATACTCGTGTATAATCATCTCTGTTTTTGTTCTGACATCTGTGATCAGCATAGGGGAGGCAACTTGGACATTCGTGTGAAGGGTGCGTGGGAGATGGGCTACACGGGCAAGAACGTGGTGGTTACCATACTGGACGATGGCATCGAGAAAGACCATCCTGACCTCGCCATAAACTACGTGAGTAGCACTGATGTAGACGAAATTTAATAATTAAATATGAATCGCCCTGAAACTGTGCGGGAGTGCCCTCTGTCATGCGAGCACTGTTTACAACCACTGACCATGTTAAATGATTGAGTACCTTAAAAAGTTTCGAACAAAAACACCGAGCACCATATAGCGCGTAGGCAATGCTGCCTATAGTTCGACCCGGCTGCTACATTAAATGGAGGCCCATTACGTGAAACGTTGCTCGCTGAAAATAATGACGTCACGAAATCACACCGTACTGGTTCATGTCGTCTGTTTTTTCCCCTTGCGAGAATTGAACGGTCAACATGCTTAACGAATGGCAAAAAAATCAGCATTTCGTCTGAGAGGTAGATACGTTCAAGAGCGTATAAAGATCGTACAACGGTGAAATGCTGAAACCATGCTGCAGTATTAGTCGAATTAATAAACTTTGCCCGTTTTATTTTGACGATTATTTGTGGTATTATTGATCAGCTCTCCTACCTTGCTGATATAAAACAACCCGCTTGTCCATACGATGCCTCTACGCTGAGATAATGAGAGGTGAAAATCTGGTATTTTCGCCGAAAACCGACTCAAGATACGTAGTGGCTGCGACTGTCTCTCGTTCTGGCGATAGCTTCAGGAAACCTCGCGTGTTTCCGTCATTCATTGACAATGAAATTTATTTTCCTTCTACTATCTTTTCTCGCATTTCCAGTCATTGACGCAGCCATTACTCCACAAAAACGTCTTGTTACTTATCGCCATGGTTATGATCCACCTCTTACGCTGGATGTAGTATAACGCTGTAGTAATAACGTATCGAGTCAGCGCTACACAGTGGCGACCGGAAGCAACATACAGTCCACAAAACGAGAGACAGTCGCAGTAAAACTGATCTCGAGTCGGTTTTCGGCGAAAATACCAGATTTTCACCGCTCATTATTTCAGCGTAGAGGCATCGTAGGGACATGCGGTTTGTTAAATTAACAAGGTAGGACAGCTGATCAATAATACTGCAAAGAATCGTCAAAATAAAACGGGGAAAGTTTATTAATTCGACTAATACTGCAACATGATTTCAGCATTTCACCATTGTACGCTCTCCTTTTTTATACGCTCTTGATACGTTGGTAGCCCACGCTCTAGTAGAAGTGGGGGAGGTAGAATTCAGAAGGAGCCTTCAGCGACTGTAGTGAATAACAATAGCAGCGGCCTGTGTATGTTCACGCGTTTCATGATTAGATGACTTAGTAAAACGGTATCGGAACTGAATGTATCGTGGTCACAACGGTACTTGAGACGGAAAACGAAGCGGCAAAGAGAGGGAGCAGGGAGGATGAGAAGGGAAGAGGAGAGGCGTGGAGAGGAGAAGCGATAGGAGACACTGGGAGGATAAAAATACAAATATATTGTTTCACCGCTATTGTCACATTGTTAATTTTTGGCCATCTCTATAATTTCGAGCTTTTGAAACAGGTTAGCCTTTGCCATAAAGATGATGTGAAATCTAGCAGATTATAGAGGATTGACATGAAGTTCGTAGTTTTCCGACTCGGAATGATTGTAGGCACTCAAGATGATTTTGGCAATCGACCCTGGCGCTTTTCGGCTATAGGTCAGTGGAAATGACAGCACAGGAAACCACCGCACCCTTGTCAATGACTTCTGCAAGAAATCCATATGTGCTCCAGCAATGAAATTTCGCGGATTTTCGCTTTCGACACGAACGTGAATGGCCGCACGAGTATGTTCTGAGCAGCCGTAATGAAGCTACGGTGCTGGGCCTAAACATTATTGCGAGGGGGGCGATTCCATTCTACGTGTCTTCGAACTGTGCTTTATGAACTATCCAAACGCTCTGCCTTGACTAGAACGTAACATCCGAGTTCGTATATTAGTGTTTGCATTGCTGTCTGGTCATCAATGATTCCGAGCTGTGAATAAATTCAGCGATGAATGAAATAAACTCCTTTAGTTATCTTCCATCTTCCGCATGACAGCCGGTCTCTTAGGTATAACGACAAGCACGTTCTGCTTCGGCGGAAATCTCATTGAAATGTTATAATTTCATTTTCAACGGCTCCCAGCAGCGTTATCAATAAGAGATAAGTAGGCGAAGTAATTTGCGGACGAATTCTGTTTTCATTTAATTGCGCATAATAAAGTTACATCGTCTAATTCCAAGCGGCAGAAGTAAATTCATTATTTCCTGAGTGAACAGATTGTCACTGTAGTTCAAGCTGAAAGGTTCGGCGGATAGTTGCGCAAATCTCTGTGTGAATCGTTACTAGCCACACGGGTAGTTTACCTAAACACTGACCAACGTGCCGTGCCGTTGAGTGATCACCTTATGTGCCTTGGGTATCAAGTCATTAGAAAAGCATGATATGCTATTGATTGCTTGTTAAATATGCGGCAGATAAAAGGATATCGGGGATAGAGAGTGCCAGTATCGATTCTCGAAGTCTATCTTCAACGTTGCTTTTAAATCGTTGCTGATATATCTTACACGTCTACTATATATTCCATATAGTCACTATATATAGTCACTATATATTCCATATGAGCTATATCTTCCGTGTCCACTATGTCTTTCATGTCTACATCTTCCACTACTATGTCTTTCTTGTCAGTTACGTCTGCTGTGGCATGAATCTGTCGCGTCGGCTCTATTGCATGATTACGGCAACGCTAAGTTACACCTTTACAACGAGGATGTTCAATCTCAGGGAGGACATCAGTCTAGAAATGACCTGGCCCCATAAAAGGAGATCTTCACTCCACGAAGAGGTTTACTCTGTAGGCATCTCAACACGGTTAACTTAACTCCGTTAAGAGCTCCCTCCATGGATAGCTGTGCTCATATAAATGGGGGTCCATGCCTATCGACTTTACTTAATGAAGGGCTCTGTCCAGGGGTGACTTTACTCCCATGGATGTCCAGCTCCACACGGAATTCACCACAGATGGCTTTCCGCGCGATAGCTGTTCACTCTATCAGAAGCTCTATCGAGTTTCATTCCCTAGTGTTACCGAATTCGATAAATGTTTGTAAATATAAGTATAGTATTTCCAATACTACGACCTTAAAAATCTGTATCTTTGTCTTTCCCACTCTGCACTCTGGCTGTCGGGTGGAGATGTGATTTTCGCAGCGTGATATAGTTACTGACATTATCGCGTTTTCAGTTTTTGTTCAACCGTTCTATAAAGCCGCGTAAAAGTGAAAATATATATTTAATACAATTAGTCTGTAGAAATATCTGCAGTGAACAGGCAGTGCTACGCGAGAGTATAGTTTTGGCTTTTTTCCATATAAAATCACTCAACCCTTTCTCCAAAGATGTGGGACGATTTGTTTTCTGTTTAAAATCCGTTAACGTGAATACTTTGTACGTGTGCTATCGCATAACACACGCGCACGCACGCACGCACGCACGCAAGCACACACATCGCATCTAGATACACGCACACGCCCGCATGGACACACTGCACACTAGCACGCGCGTGTGTGATATATGCAAACCCGCATGTACAATATAATCATATACTTCGTCATTGCAGTTGGATTCCGAGTATTCCCTATATACATATATATCTTGATATTGATATTGATATTGATATTCATGTCACATGCAGGGAGTAATAAGTTTTACGCGACTGACAGGCGTCGTGTGTCATCATTGTAATTATCGCTCGTGACACGTTCAAACTCATTCAGTGCATGTCCATTATCGAGCACGGCCACATTGTGTTGGAAATCCGTCGTGGTTCAATATTATACGTACGTGACTGACTATAGTATTAATCTGTAGCCGGGCGCCTTTTACTCGTTTGATTGCGTAACATCAACGTTTCAAATTTGATGAATGTCGATAAGTTTAAATTCGGGAATTTTACCAGCATGCTGTGAGATTGAGAGAACAGCTTCACTTCAAGTTTGTGCGTGCGTGCCTTTGCGTGCGTACGTGCGTGCGTGCCTTTCCGTGCGTACGTGCGTGGGTGCGCGTCGACGCACAGGTATGTATACCTCCTGATGTATACGTATGTGCGTGCGTGCGTGCGTGCGAGCTAGCGTATGTGCATGCGTGCGTGCGCTTCGACGCACATGTATGTGCGTATACGCGTTTAAGCGTGTATTTGGGGGCGTGTCAAGTCTAGAAACACGTCTTTGCACATCTTTAAACGTCGTGTTTCGTGCGCAGTGTGGCTGTCCTACAGATGTAACCGCATCGCCTTCATGAATTAGCCGCGTCCATGTTTATCGTGCAGCTGCCTCCTTCTGCCGGCCGCAGCCGCCATAACGTCCGTCTCTCCCCTTCCCCATCTCCTCTCTCTCTCTCTCTCTCTCTCTCTCTCTCTCTCTCTCTCTCTCTCTCTCTCTCTCGCTCTCTCTCAATCATACGGTCTCTCGCTCTCTCACGGCCCGCGGCTGGGAGCGGGCAGGACTGACTGCTCTCTATCTTCCACGCATAATCACATTCTCTCTTACAAACACACGGTCGCACGCGCACATATACTATCTCACTCTCGCCCCCTCCCTTCCTCCCACCTTTCCCCATTCTCTCTCTCTCTCTCTCTCTCTCTCTCTCTCTCTCTCTCTCTCTCTCTCTCTCTCTCTCTCTCTCTCTCTCTCTCTCTCTCTCTCGGTTCGGCTCTGGAATCGCAGACGATGCTCCTCCGTATTGGAAGCGGATGAACATCTGGCTGGCTTCGGCAGCTGTGTCGTGTCCGGAGCCTGTCCGCCATGGCCGCCGTGCGCTGCAGAGTAAATAAACTCGGAAGTGCACCACCGTACAGACTATAACGATCTCTCTCTCGTTGATTATGGAGAGCAAGCGAGTAGCCGTTTAATGTACTCGCCGGGTTTGGCAGCTAGTTAGATTTGCTTGTAATCGCACCGCAACATAAACGAGGCGTATATTATAAGCGAATATGAGAAGAGTTGATATTCTCTTTCGCACGGAAACATCTGCGTGCACGCGTAAGGTGACGGAGGC